CAAGCAGGCTCTGTGCTGTCAGCACAGAGCCTGACACAGGGCTCCATCCCACAAACGATGAGATCATGACCTAAGCCAAAACCAAGAGTTGGACCCTTAACCAAAAGAGCCACCAGGGTGCCCTAGGAATGCTGGTTTAAAGAGACAGTAATGAGGGGTGCCTGGGTGGCTCAGTCATTTAAGCATTCGACTTCGACTCAAATCATGGTCTCATGGTTCATGAGTTGAGGCCCCACACTGGGCTCTGTGCTGTTAGCACAGAGCCCACTTCGGATCCTCTGTCTCTCTCTCTCTTTTCCCCTCCCCCATTTGCACTCTTTCTCTCTTAAAAATAAATAAAATATTATAAAAAGTAGAGCGTAATGAGGTATGAACAAGGCAAGAAAATACACTCAAATAACTATGGGGAGGTATAGTGAAGGTTCATGTATATAGAGGAGGAAGATGAGCACATAGAAGGAAGTATTTTCCAACTCTTGATAACTGCTGCTTCTCTCCTTTGCAGGCTTGTCTTCTTCCTCTAACACCCTGGTAGATACTGAGCAACATTCTCCTCCTCCTCCTCTCTGTATATATACTTTTTTCTTTTGGTGAACTGCTACAGGCTTATGTTTCAATTTGCTTATGCTGAGTACATGCAAATCCTAATTTCTATCCCCAAACTCCTAAACTCTAATTCTTATCTCCACCCCCCTACAGAATAACTCTTCTTGAACTTTTCATTATAGTTTCAAACTATAGTTCACTAAATTTTCTAAAAATAACTAAAATCAACATTTATTATATCTTCCTTCTCAAAGATTCCCTTTCCCAAACAACTCCCTTTTTTAAATAACCATATTTTTTATTTTGTTAATGTTTATTTATTTTGGAGAGAGACAGAGAGTGTGTAGGGGAGGGACAGAGAGAGAGGAAGACACAGGATCCGAAGCAGGCTCCAGGCTCTGAGCTGCCAGCACAGAGCCTGACGTGGGGCTCAAACTCACGAACCGCAAGATCATGACCCAAGCTGAAGTTGGATGCTTAACCGACTGAGCCACCCAGGCACCCCAACAACTCCCTATTTCTATTAAAGGTTTGAAGGTTAAATAATATTGGCTTCCTTTTGCTTTCATTCCCCATTTAGTCAACGAAACCCACTTTAAAACATTTCGCATATCCACCCACCCTATTTTATTCAGGTTTTCTTCATTCTTTCCCAGACCACCTTAACTCCTAAACCACCCTCTCCCTAAATGCATTTTACACAATACCCATGAATGAAATGTTCTCAAATACCAGTGTTATCCATCTTATCCCCTGTTCAAAACTGTTAGCTCTCTCATACCTACAGAATAAAGCACCAACTCTAAAAACTGGCATTGAAGACCATCTGGCCTTTTCAATTCATCTTCCACTAATCCCAAATTTATTATATCCTTACAATTTCCTGAATATCCAATGTTTATTCTATTTCCATGTTCTCACTTCTTAACTCTGTTCTCCCCTTTGCTTAAATAAATCTTATCTATACTTGAGAGCTTATTCAAGTCTCATGTATCATGTGGTCTTCTCCAGCTATTCTAGCTAACTTTGGGGTGCCTCACTAACGTCCTTTAGAACTTTTAAAAAATGCTTATTTATTTTTGAGACGGGGGAGGGGCAGAGAGGGGAGAGACAGAGAATCCGAAGTGGGCTCCGCGCTGTCAGCGCAAAGCCCGATGGGGGCTTGAACCCATGAACCATGAGATCATGGCCTGGACCAAAGTCAGATGCTCAACCAACTGTACCACCAAGGCACCCCTAAAGTGTTTTAGCTCTTATCTGTAACACATATAGCATAATTGTTAAAAGAATATTTTGCAGTCAGGCAGTGTTCAAATACTGGCTTTTGAACTTACTATGGGACGTTGAGCAAGTTCTATAATTTTCTAAGATCCAGTTTTGTTGTCTATGATACGAACATAGTACTGTACCTCATAGGATTGTGAGGTTTTATATACATATATATATGTATATATATGTACACATATAGATGCGTACATATAATCTTTAATCCTTTAAGAATTAAATTTTAGGGGCGCCTGGGTGGCGCAGTCGGTTAAGCGTCCGACTTCAGCCAGGTCACGATCTCACGGTCCGTGAATTCGAGCCCCGCGTCAGGCTCTGGGCTGATGGCTCGGAGCCTGGAGCCTGTTTCCGATTCTGTGTCTCCCTCTCTCTCTGCCCCTCCCCCGTTCATGCTCTGTCTCTCTCTGTCCCAAAAATAAATAAAAACGTTGAAAAAAAAATTTTAAGAATTAAATTTTAATGTTTTATTCATTTTTGAGAGAGAGAGACAGAGCAACGAGTCAGGGAGGGGCAGAGAGAGAGGGAGACACAGAATCCAAAGCAGGCTCCAGGCTCTGAGCTGTCAGCACAGAGCCCCATGCAGGGTTCAAACCCATGAACCATGAAATCATGACCTGAGCTAAAGTTGGAGGCTTAACTGATGGGGACACCTAGGTGCCCCCAAATCTAATCCTTCTTTTAAAACCACCTATTATAGGGGTGCCTGGGAGGCTCCGTCGGTTAAGCATCCGACTTTGGCTCAGGTCATGATCTCACAATTTGTGAACTCAAGCCCCATGTTGGGCTCTGTGCTGACAGCTCAGAGCCTGGAATCTGCTCCCAATTCTGTGTTTCCCTCTCTTTCTGCCCCTCCTTGGCTCACACTCTGTCTCTCTCAAAAATAAACATTAAAAATTTTAACAAAAAATAAAAAAATAAAACCATTTATTATAGGGGCACCTGGGTGGCTCAGTCAGTTGAGTGTCTGACTTCCACCCAGGTCATGATCTCACAGTTGGTGGGTTCGAGTCCCGAATCGGGCTCTCTGTTGTCAGCACGGAGCTCACTTCGGATCCTCTGTCTCCCTCTCTCTGCTCCTCTCCTGCTTATATGAGCTTTCTCTCTCTTTCTCTTTCAAAAATAAACATTAAAAATAAATAAACCACCTATTATTGTTTGGGAAACAAAAAATGTGAATTTATTGAAATTGTGAGATTTTCTGTACTCTTTTCTCAACTAGTAGAGCTCAATTTTCTCTGCTTTAGATTTCATTATTGCTCTCCCAGATTAAGTAATGTTACAATCCTGTCACTCTACATCCATGTCAGTTGAACAGGGCGACAGAATGTAAGCAGCATTTGTTTCCTTCTCTAGTTGGTAAAAATCTATACAACTTTGGTTTTTCTCTGATACACTAAAGTGGACTGGGGGAAAAGATTCAGGCAGTTTTTGGTATAAAATGCCCACTAGAACTGAAAGACTTTCCTT